TAACCTGGTTGCCGAGTTCACGAAGTGAATTGGCTTGTTTTACAACGTCGTTGCCAAGCGACGAAACCCAATCCCGACGGCAACACCGGGGGGGGCGGCTTGTTTTACAACGTCGCTGCCAAGCGACGAAAACCCAGTCCCGATGGCAAACACCGGGAGGGGCGGCTTGTTTTACAACGTCGTTGCCAAGCGACGAAAACCCAACCCCGATGGTAAACACCGGGGGGGGGGGAAACACCGGGGGGGGGCTTTATACGAGGCCGTTGGGGGAGTGGGTAGTACTTACGGATTTGGACCTAAAGGAGAGTACGACAACCACCCAATAATATGCTCGCCACGCCGCGCGTTCGTGTGAATGATTAAGATTTGGTGTGCAGTGGGACACCTACGGAGTCGACGATGCGCGGTAAGGACCTCAGCCAGATGCGCGAAGGACCATGATGTGGTAGATTACGAGGCGCGAAATGGCTCAGAACATGATTGGCGGACATCGTCACTCCATCGAACTTATAAGGGCAAGATATACAACCGCACAGCTGCTGCGCTGATGATAGCTGTCATGTGGTGAAATAAGGTGTTCCCAAGTTTTTCTGCGTGAAAATGGTGACGTTTTTGTGCTCGTTGGCGCTGGTGGCGGAATCTTCGCGGACAATTAATGCCGAATACCGCGGGTCGCTGAACGGACAACATTAAGGGCTGCCAGCTGCCCCGATGCACACGCACGCGGACGAGAGCGCGCGTAGGCCGAACGCGAAGCCGGCACGCGTCGGTGTTGGTCATAACTTTCTTCCCCTGGTCTGTTTCGAATATTATTACGCAACTGCTGTGCGTTGCATACATAAATGTCACATCCAGCCTTCACCAATAATTGTAAATCTCGATTTCCTCGGGAGGAAAAAGGAGCGGGTGACGCCGGTGCCGAAAATGGCAGCGACGGAACCACCCGGCTTGTCGAGAGCTAAACCAAACGGTATCATTTTCTTTCGGCACCTCTTTGTAAAGGAGTCGTTGGGCTCTGAGAATCGGTCCAGGGGGCGGGGAATCTCACGTGCTTGTATGCAACCAATAGTGCGCAACATGCAACCTATGGCGAACCAACATATCATACGTTGTTCCTCGTCAGGGTTCCGGCCAAGCGGCCAGAAGCAAACAACAAATGGCCCGACGCGTTCCGATCCTTGAAAACCAACCAAATATTGTTTGAAACACATGCAGTCACTCGCGTGCGCCCGCCCAGGGAGCATGTCGCCTATGATGCTGTACATACACGATCGCTCTGTTGTCATAAATCTACCAATGCCTCGTTGTCATCTCGGAACAAATCCAATCGCCGCGCCATGTAATTTTCTCCTCTCAGCAAACAACCTCCAGCAACCAACAACTCCGTGCCAAAAAACCTCTACCCCAGAAGGGAAGCAGGGGATGCGTTGGCTCCGGACAGGAAACAAACCTAACCTCCTCCTGGTATTACCCACACGTCAGGCAACAAGCGAATCTTGTTTGACATCTACACAAGACGACGCGGGGACATGGGCTTAAGAAGAGACCGAGTGAGCTCGATGTACACCATGTACACCACTGTGTAAACTGTACACCGATCGATACTATTGTAGACACGATGTAGGACCGATTTTCATGCACATGATCCGCACCTGCCATACACCAGTTACGGAACAGACACACACATGGTTGTGTGGAGAATATTAGACTACGTAGACCAAACGATCTCAGACGTGTCAAACCACACCTCCTTGTCGAGATCAGGGCAATCCCCGGTGAGCTCCTCCCCAACAGGCGTCACGGCGTTGAAGTCGACCACCACTTGGGCTTCCTCATCGTCCGTGCAGCAGGCACTGGACGACGCGATCGAGTTGTCACAGAAGGTCAAGACCTGTTGTGCCGATGGGAAAAAGTTTGCAAGTGTACGGCAGCACTTAATTGCAGTGTCCAACGGACCTAGTCTAGTTGCATAGGGCGTGCGTGGGGACGGTCTTGGTGATCCCGAGAAGGCACCTCTCTGCTACGCTGTTACGCTGGCGATTGTTGTTGTGTCGAACAATGAAGTACGTAAAAGTATGCATAGTCCAGGGGCAAACACTAACTGATTGTTGTTGTTGTTGTTGTTGACTTCACATTAAACCGTATGCCAGTTGCTAAATGCCAAAATCTAGCAAAGACTCTCGGCCCGTGGTCACGAAAGTGCTGGAGCCATCTGAGGATCTAAAGAACACGCACACGTAGCAAGAAAAAGGTGTACAAGAGCCCGAAGAGGTACTACTACACCTATATATAATCCCTGCAGCACCGTACGCGTGCCCAAAACTGAACTACACGTCCGTCTCACCGTTCGACTACAGCAACATCACCCCCTACTTGTCCCACTCTGTACCAAAACGAATGATTGCCGACTACAGCATACTTGCTGTCTGAAGTGCTGTCTGTACAAAAACACCATGGTAGGCATGGAACAAGAAGCTGGCGGGGCACAAAGCTGCTGTCTGAAGTGCTGTCAGAATGTGTCTGCGGACGTACAGTGAAAAAGAACAACCAACCAAAGCCATGATTGCAATGGACAATCACCCGAACCTCTCCCGATCGTCTGTGTTAGGCACGCAGTGAAAATATCGACAATAGCTAAGAATCGTTCCACATTGAAGGGGTCTTCCACGATCAGGCACATAACCAAGGCACCCGGGTTAGCCACGCCATCTCTGACGGGTCTCTCTACAAAACCAGTGACGACGTCATCACATAGAACCAACACCGAAAATCAGGAAAAAAACGAGAAAAATTACCTGGTCATAATCCGTAGGTTTGTCGTCGATGAAGCAGAGAGGATGCGAGGCCACCTTAGTGGCGACCAGCGCGGCTAGACACGTGAAGGCACGCATCATCACGTAGCCTGCTGCTGGCTCTACTCGGTCGGGATCCGGAGCAGCAGCAGCCGGGAAGGGCGAGAGATTATGCCCACACAGCGGCCGTCAGTCAGCGGGTTTCTCGGTAGGTGGAGTATAACAAGATGGGTGGATATTTGCCACTACAGATCCAAATGCTTCCTCTCCTCAAGCCAGAAGATCCTCGCTCTGAAACCCTCCGTTTTGTCTCTTTCCGCCTGTCGCGCAGCGCTCTGACAAGGCTACATTGTAGCTGCCCGGGATCCGTTGGGAAGCTGTTCCATTCATTTGTCTGTCCATCTTGGCACCTCCCTGTCTCGTCCGCTCGTGGAAACCTATCTGCTCCATCCGGCCATTCACAGCACGTCACCTCACATGCAGCAACGGTTCGCTATCGCTCGACTTTCAGATACATGCATTGCATATATTCATGTCGAACATGTTGTTACCTTTTCAGCACAGATGTCCAGGACATCATCCCATGTGTTGCGGGATCTTGTGAGTTCTCTTTTCGTTCCATTTTCGGCTTCTCGTATATTTCTTGGTCGGTCTTCTCTCTGCACCTGTCCCTCCCGCTCGCGGAAACCTCTCCTCCCCCATCCACCCATTCACAGCACTTCACCTCACAGCAGCACAGCAGAAGTATCTCTCCCTCCGCTCCCTCAGATGCATGCATCTATGTCACTGCTTGCTGCCATGTGTCAACTATTCAGAAAGTTTTCCGGGAGATATTCCACCTCGTCATGGATCTTCGGACTCTAGACTATGTTCCGTTCCGTTCCGTTCCGTTCCGTTCCGTTCCGTTCCGTTTCGTCCGCTCCTCATTTTCTGCGTCCGTTTGTGGTCTGCGTCTGTATCTGACATGCCCGCTCGGATAAAACTCTCTCTCGTCTATCGTTGATACAGGAGTAAGTAGCACACGCCCGCGAGTTCCTCTCGCACAAAAAAAGAAGTCGTCCATGGATCCGCTGGATACGGCCCTACCACCTCTCTCTATCAACCACATGTTCTCGATTGCGATCTCCTTTTCCCGTTATTTGACAACCGCATGGCACGCCGCTTTTTACGCAACAGGCTGTTTTGTACTCGTGTCCGGGCCGCCCGCCCTCTCTCTCACACACAACAACGACCGCCCCAACGCATCAAATTCCCCACCCCTCTCTACACGCAGTCTTCGACGAACTCAGCAGAGACCGTAAAAAAGAATTCGTAACAGCGAGCGGTTCATTTTTTTCTTGTTTTGCGCATGCATACATGGTCGCCCGGGAGGGCTAGTGGGTGACCTCGCAGCCCCCTAAGGGCCAGGTCAAGGGTTCGAGTCCCGGCAGAGAGAGTTTTTTTTCACCAAATAAATCCTGGTCTACAGGATGAACGCGACGCGCTGCAAAGCTCGTTTGTTAGTAAACCATAATCGACTTCGTAAGTCGCGAGGGAAGGGATTGCTGTACCCTTCTCGCGATAAAAATACCTCAGGCATGAACCGCGGGGGGGGGTCCCCCCCCCGCCTCCTATGTGACCCCGGTTGGGTCGTCTTGCTAGTAGAAGTGGAGGATAGGGGCCAGAGGGGCAGACGGCAGAGTCCACCAATGATGGGAGAAACACAAACAAACACGAGTTGTGATGATGTCGTGGAACATCTGATTTCCGGCACAAAGCGTTTTGATGAGGCGCCTACTCCCCCCTCCTGTTCGCCGTGTACCACCGCCGGCACCAGATAGTTGGGGAGCAACAACACCGCATGGCTCTCGTTCTCACTCCCCATCCATCCCTTCTCTCGCCCGCTGATGGTGTGTAGACTAACAATTGTGAAAGAGACGTACTGCCCGCTGATCCCCCCCTGATCCCCCCCAACCCCCTTTATTTTTATCCGACGGCGGCGTGTTCTCCGTTCGTTTGCACTTTCTTCGGGTTCAATTCGGTTGATCACCAGAGAGAGGCTGCAGCCAATGGTAGCACACCATCACCCAGAGCATACTTTCAGTTCGGCGACAACGTCACGAGGGTAGCTACTGCTGTACATCGGCTGCGCGTTAGAAAGGGCCGGCCAGTGCACCGAGCCGAGAGTAACCGGGAACGGCCCGCCAGCAGAGAGAGGTGAGAGAGGGAACACCTGCTGTGCTACGTTGCTACATGTTGCACTGCTGTTGTTGGTCGTCGGCACAAAGCAGACGGGCGCATGTGTTGAGAGGCAGCCGCGTACAACACTCTTCTTGTTGTGTGGACACATACGATGCACGCAAGGAAGCGTGGGTGAGGGTGGTGGCTGGCGAGTCAGCAAGCTTGGGCGGAACGGGGAGGGCGTATAGCAGTGCCATCGTTGCGAAACTCTCTTGTCGCATCATATGTACTCCTCCTACTGCTGCTGTGGTGCAATCTACAGCAGACAACTTGATCCCCTTTGCAGCAGTCGCAACAGCAACCTTATTGCCCTGGGCTGTCGTCTTCTTGCAGCCGTCGGCAAAAGGACACCGCGTTCTCTCGTGTTTGCCATGTCCCCACATACAGTGTGTCGCACACGAAGGGAAAAGACACGCAGAGACGTCGAGCTCCATGGCGTGGCTGCTTGATGATAGTCTACACCCCCGGTGTGCCTCGTCATGGTATCCCTTCCCAAACCAACTACACTTGCGTTCCGAGCAATTCCGAGGATGTGTTTCCGCTCGACCATGGACTCAGGTCTTCACGTTTTACCCTCTTTCACGCTACTACCCTCTTCCCTCTCGGTCTGTCTCCACCCGTGTGCAGAACAAGGCAAGGACATTACACGGCCGCTTTCTGTAACCGCCTACAAGAGTGCCCTCGGTCTGCCTGCTACATCAAGCACTGCCTGTACTCTCTAAGTAGTACCACTAGTTGGACGGCTTTTGTGGGGACGAGCTAATCTTGCCAGCCAGCTGCGTACCGTATATGACACAAGATAACACACTCCCTGGACCAGTTTTCAAAGCTCGATTACTCCACGACGAAGAGGATGCATAAACGAAACGATACATTTTTGGAAAGCTCTCGACGAGGCGGTTCCAACGCCGCCGTTTTCGGCGCCGTGACTCTTTCTGTTATTGAGAAATCGATATTTGAAAATCGGTCCAGGTGCAAGGAAGATCTTCGATTGGAAATCTCTCTACATTCTCGAAGCGCGTCCGTCAAGAACCAACAAGACTTGGACGTACATCCGTGTGGGTGCGCAGGTGTGTTGTGTGTGTCGGGTGCATGCACAGATGTGTGTGTGTTTATATGTGGCGTATGTGGATCCACCTTGCTTCGCGAGAAATGAAGTGTGTCAGGCTAACGCAGACCCTGTCCCTAACCCTACCCCCAACCCAACTTCCCGACTGGACACTTTATCCAACATGTTTACTTATTAGAAAAGCCCTGAGAAGGCCACTGGCCCATGGAGATTTTTCGTTTACGTTGCAACCGTGTGCGTATTTGTTCGAGTGATCCCCCCCGGCGATTGATGCGCGATCAACCCATGGCATACATGCTGGTTCGGTACAACACCCGCAAGGATAAATGACATGATGCCACAGCTTCTTTCTGGTTCACCCTCCCCTGTGAAACGTGCAGTACCACCGAGTATATGACACAATATAACACACCCCCTGGACTGATTTTTGAAATCTCGATCACTCCACGACGGAGTTGCATAAACGAAACGATACATCTTCGGAGAGCTCTCGACCAGAAAGAGACACCTTCGACGCCGTCATTCTCGGCGCTGCGACTCTTTCTGCAGTTGATAAAATCGAGCTTTGAAAATCGGCCCAGGGGGCGTGCTATCTTGTTCCGTCGCTGCATTTTTGTAGGGATGCTAGGCCAATGAACAAGGGACACTAGTACGGCAACAGGCGTTTACATGGTGATGATGAAAGTACACCCCCCGACGTTCGTGCATACAAGTAGATATTAATAGGTCGATTGCTCTCCACCATACCTGGAGGGATGGCCGTAGACAACAACTTACGGTCTTGTTGCAAATATATCGTCAAAAACTACTATCCGACGACACCTTCTATTAGTTGTTGGCCGTTTGTAGCGCCCTGTTGATAGAAGAGTAGTCGAGCCATGCAGCAGTATGCATGCAAGAGAGTCCGTCTACTTTGGAGAAGGGGGTGCTGTTACTCGCAGAACTTGTGGTATTTTTCCAGTGCGGATTTTACTTGCTGCTATGGTATTATCCCAGAGTTTTAGATGCGTCGTTTATTGGCGTAAAACGACCGTAAGAATGCATAGTTGATCTCCGAACTTGGTTAAAATGTGATCACGCTGCTTCTCGGCGAGAGAGAGCGAGAGAGAGAAAGAGAGCTCTTTTGTTACTGGGCTGCTCTGCCGCGGTACATACGCCTTCTCTATTCATATCATCATGGTCTTGTTCCTCATTCGCAGGTAGCGCTGGAAATGCTGTCTCCTGCCCAGCATGATTCCCATCACACACCCAACCACATCCCCCCCCCCTCGGTGTTTGCCATCGGGATTGGGTTTTCGTCGCTTGGCAACAACGTTGTAAAACAAGCCAATTCACTTCGTGAACTCGGCAACCAGGTTACCGTTATTTTTTTGGCGGTAACCATAATGGTGGTCGAGTAGATCATGTTGTGCGGGGTGGAGAATCCTCACTCCGCGCAAGGGGGATGATCGCACCACGTTGTGTTAAAATGGTCAAGCACCCTCGAGGCAGTTACACAGTGCTTACAACTGTCTCTGGAAGTGAAGCACCAGAAAATAAATTGAGTCATACGCAGCTGTCATCCGTATCCAAGGAAGTAAGCACAAGATGCCGAACACCCTTAGCAGGATGCAGCACACCCTTCATGCGACTCGCCGAATATCTCACGGCGCTTCGCGCTTGGTGATGTGAGAGCCTGGTCCGGTGAGAACCCGGCGTGCTCCGTCCCGGCTTTGTAGGGATGCGAGGTCAATGGTCTAACGACTACGGCATGCACGACTATGAGTACCCCCTCCCCCCGCCCCCCCCGATGGGTCATCGGTGATGGGTCCGGTGGGAACTATGGTCCGTCCCCTCGAGGACGCGTGGTCAATGATCTCACCGCCAAGGCATGCAAAGCATAAGAGTACGTCCCCCCCCCCCCTTGCCGTTGCCCCCCCCCTCTGCATACTCTGTGACAGGATACAAGTAGAATGCCGATGCCGCCGCGCCCGGCAGGGATGAGCAGCTCGTTCACCCAGAAGCTCTTGGTGGTCGTGATACTGGCGTGCCTCCTCCTGACCCGCACGCGGGAGACCCACAACGGAGGAAACCACCCCCCTCCTCAGGCCGATGACCACCACCACAGGTACGCGGCCAATACCCCGCTTCCCTTTGGTCGCTGGTGGTGGTGTCCACTCGATGCATGTGCCGTAAATGGCACAAGATAACACACCCCCTGGACCGATTTTCAAATCTCGATTTCTCGACAACAGAAAGAGTCACAGCGCCGAAAACGGTGGAGTTGAAGCTGTCTCGTCGAGACCTTTCCGAAAATGTATTGTTTCATTTATACATCATGCTCCTTTGTGGCGTAATCGAGCATTGAAAATTGGTCCAAGGGGTGTGTTATCTTGTGTCATATACGGTAATACCTTCTCAGGAGAGGACAAGGGTGCAGCACTAGGACATCCCATGGGGAACTACGCATAGAACATGGCGGGGGGGAAGGGGGGGGTCGGGGAAGGAGCATTTATATGCTTTTATAGGCGTTGGACGCGGATGGCCCCATGATACCAATGAGACCGAATGAAGGGAGGGAGGCGAAGCAGGCGCGGACCGAGAACGCTTCTGTTAAGATAGCGACACCAGCATCAGCGAAATCGTCTGCACCCCCCCCTTCCTCATGAAGACTTCGTCATGCTGCAATGGTTCGTGTCCGCCAAGTGCTACAGCAGTATTGCCTCTGGCATTCGTCTCCGGTCGTTTGTGTCCGCAAAATGCAGGAAAAGCTGTCCTCCCCCCCCCCAATTCGGGCACTGATTTTGCCGACCTGAATACTGCTACTTTTTATGCTTTACTGTATTTGCATTTTTTTGTTAAACGGTACAGCGAAGATACCAATCATAATCTTCAGCCTTGGTCCGCCGCCGCCGCTGCCGCTGCTAGTCCCGCTGCTGGTGCCGCTGCTGGTGCGTATTGCTTTTGTTTGCTTTTTTGGTTAGCAAGGGCATGGTACAGCAGCAGTTGTCGCTTCAGAGTAGAGACCTCTCCTGCTGAGGGTGTTGCTTTTTTTTTCCCTGCATCTTCCTTCCATGATATTGGGTCCAGTGATCGCAGTATTCCATTGCTTTTTTTTTTTTGTTTGCTTCATGTCTGAAGAGGATACACGTCCGTTTTTGTTGCGCCGTGTTACAATAGTTAAGGCCTGCATTTTGCTTCCATGTTTTTTTTTGGTTGAGGGATGGCAGTGCTCAACTGCATTCTTTTTTTGTTTTTTTCTCCACTACTAGAGGATGCCTGCGTCCGTTTTCGTTGGACCGCCGGAAATCTATGCCTCTCGTCGTCAGGATCAGCACGGGTTCTTGCCTGTGGATGCGGTGAAAATAGGCCGCGAAGCGTTTGAATGCGAATGATTCATTCATCGCTCATCGATCTTTTCGGACTCTTTTCAATGGATGGAGATGGATTCGTTGTGTCATAGGAAGAGTGTTCTAAAATCAACGACAGCGTCAACAGCCAGCCATGGTAGACTTGTGTGTGCCGTTTGTTTTGTTGACCATCTACCGTAGTTGTCGGAGAGATGGCACCCTCGCGTTGACGTTTTTGTTTCTATATTGCGTTTTTCTCCACTACCAGGGAGGTGGGTACCACTGCAAAAAAAAAACAATTTTGGAAACATCTCGTCGAGGGCTTTCCTGAGAGGTAGTACCGGTTGGCGTTCGTGACCCTCCTAGTTTTGGAGAAATATTAACTGAACAACGCGACCACGGAGGTGTTATCTCTCCGACTCTAACGGTATACCCCCATTCGTGTCTGCGCAACCCCTTCAAGTAGCGTTGCTTTGGCGCCCTCAGATTTTCCCGCCTCCGTCCACTTCCTTTCACGCGAACAAGAACATCGTCATGATGAGGGTCATTTATTGTGTGAGCAATTGGCACAACGCATACCGCACGTACGTGTGTACACGAAGACATGCATATGTGTATCATGAATTGGCAACTATCACAGTGGGAATGCACCCGCCTGGCTCCTGACGTTGTCTTGGTCCAGATTAGCGCCGCTGTCGTTCCGTTGAACACACACCGGTGAACTTCGCACTACAGTCAGCACCCGAAAAAAACGTCAGTTATGGGTCGATGTTCATTCTCTTTCTCCTTCTACACCATCGAGCGTAGTCATATTACGTAGAGAATTTAGTGTGTAAGATCCGCCACGGCTAAAGTTTTGTGTGCTTCCTAGTCGACTTTTTCTTAATTCATCGCCAAATTCTATGCTTGTAAGTGGAATATTGTGTAAGATTCGCCACGGCTGAAGGTGTGTGTGCTTCCTAGTCGACTTCTCTTATTTCATCGCCAAGTTCTATAGAATTTAGTGTGAGATTCGCCACGACTGAAGGTGTGTGTGCTTCTTAGTCGACGTTTCTTGCTCATCGCCATATTGCATAGAATTCAGTGTGGAAGATCCGCCACGGCTGAGGGTGTGTGTGATTCCTAGTCGACGTTTCTTATTCATCGCCAAAATCGGAGCCTGCCTTTTGTTCCTTGAAAGTTTGTTTCTTGAGTGGCGGGCGCTTGACTGCCGTATGTTTCCGTTGGTATGCATACCTTTTCTTCCCAGGGGAGGGTTCCGTCGTCGGGGCCAACATTGTCTGCCAAGGAGACGGCAGGGGTCAAGACACTTACCGGCTGCTCACATGGCCGTGGCCGTACGTCGTGGCGTACTTCGTGAGTGTCGACCAATATTGAGTTTGGATAACCCTAGTAGCCGTATCCTAACTTCCCGGCTGCTCACATGCTGTGGCCGTGCGCCTTAGTGTACTTGTATGAGGTGTTCACGATTTGGGTTTGGTTCACACTTGAATAACAACCCTAACTTCCCGGCTGCTCACATGCTGTGGCCGTACGCCTTGGTGTACTTGTATGAGGTGTTCACGATTTGGGTTTGGTTCACGCTTTTTTAACAACCCTAGCTTACTGGCCGCTCGCACGGTTGGGGGCGTGCACCGTGGCGTACTTCGTGAGGTGTGGACCGATTCGATGTTGTTTATCACGCCATTCGCTCCGGCGGTAGGATCTCTGGCTCAGCTACCGTAGCTTTGCGTAAGATATCACACCCCCTGGATCGATTTTGAAAGCTCGATTACTCGGCAGCGAAAGCAGTGACGGTGCAGGAAAAGCAGTGACGGTGCCGAATATGGCAGAGTCGGAACCATCGCGTCGAGAGCCTTCCGAACACGTATCGTTCGCCTTCGGCACCTCTTGGCCGAGGAGTAGTGGAGCTTTGAAAATCGGCCCACGGGGCTTGGTATCTTACGTCATACAACGTACGGTAGCTCACAATTATCAACTCATGTCCTGTGCATGCGTTTAGGAGCCGAAATCAAGCCGCTAGGCTATTGAGACAGCGGTGACTAGTCAATGGTTTGATTTCCGCCTCTGTTGCATTTAGTCGTGGGGTCGAGCGGCTTCTAAAGAGCACACCTGTTTCTCTCAGGAAAGCTGCTGCCCCAGAATGCGTTTGCAAGCTCGAACAATTCGGTTGGCATATGGGACATGTGAACCCACATGTATGGTTTGATCGTCAGCACAGAACATCTTTGCAAGCTCGAAAATGTACATGTGTATGGTCTGTGATCGTCAGCGCAGAAATCTTTGCGACCTCGAAAATATCTCAAAACGCTGGCAATGGGACATCTCCACCGACGCATGAACGGACTGACCGTCCACGGTGGCTGCTCGTCTCCGCTTTGCCCTTGTTGATTGCTCATCGTACTTGGCTGCCTCCTTGCTTTCTTTCAGCTGTGGAGATGCGCCAAGCTCGCCTACGCCGTGTTCGTCACGGAAGTGCTGGCAAGGTGGGAGGCGAAGGAGAGGGCGCGCGCTCGCCGCGCCCGCCGCCGCCGCCCGCACAGGTGATGGTAGACTTCGACGTCGAGGGGGGAGGCGGCGAATGTTTCGGAGCCGGCCCCGGCACCGCGTCCCCCAACGCCTCCGCCGCGGGCGCCGCCGCCGCCGCGGAAGGGTACGGAGAACGTCCGTGGCGCCGCGGGTAGAGAAAGCAACGAGCGCCGAGGAAGCGAGAACTGAGGGCAGGCAGGCAGGCAGGCAGGCAGGCAGGCAGGCAGGCAGGAGGTGTGAAGACCGTCGTTCGTTCGTCCCCGCGGCGGTCTTCCGGTTCCGCCGCCTGCGTCCACCCTTCATTTTTTTGCCGAAGCCCTTCTTCCTCTTCCGCTGCCGACCAGAAGCGCGAGTTCCCCCCCCGGAGAGGCTTCGTTCCCCCCCCGTCGTTCACCGGCAGCGTGAGGTGATGAGGGCGAGTACTGCTGTCGGGCGGATTCTAGCGTCGGCGACTGCCTGCGACATCGACGACGACGACGATGTTTGCGACAGCGAAAGACTGATTTGTTGTGTTTTTTTGTCGGAAGTAAACGCTAAGAACCGGCAGGGGGAAAAACTCCTTGTACCGTGGTGTGTAGAAACGACACGCATGCAAAGTTAGGGTTTGACTCTAGCAGTAAACACCGTCCGTGGTGTAGTGTAGTACAACACATTCGAAGAGTAGGGTTAACTCTAATGGAAGACACTTCCCATGATCCCAGTTCGATCGCGTCCTTCTTCCGAGAACTACGTAGTATTTTAAGGCATAAGCGCTGTGTTGGCAAGGGCAGCAGCCAAGATTGGCGCTGAGCATGTGGCCGTTTGATAAGGAAGGATTGAAGGTTGACGTATGCCGGGAAGGCGGAGTGGGGTGTTGGTTGACGCTAAACGCCGAGGGGGCGGGCTGCTGATCGAGCGGTCTGTGCGTCGTGTATCATGTGGGATGTTGGGGTGGCGTTGGTTTTTGGTCGGCGGTTGCTCTTTCGCGACAGCAAGCCGCAAAACTCTCATGAGGTGTACGTGGTATGTGATGCAGTATGCCTATGTCGACGAAATGATCACCATTTGATTGGATGTGATTCAAACAAGCCAATGTTGACGGATCACCGCTTATGATTGGACGTGATTCAGTAAGCCTGTGTGCCAGTTCTTGGCTTGTGACGGAAACTGGCGGGAATTGCAGTGTTGCTCCTTTGTGCTTATGTGACAGAAGAATATTGGATTTGGCTTATTATGGAAATACTCCAATGTAGAACGCCCCCCCCTCCCCGTCATTCCTTCGCCGGCCACCCCTTTTTCCCTTTGTCCATCAGATCGCGTTCGAACGCGACATAAGATATATGTATTGCGTTCGGTGTTGCTGGCGCGATGCATTAGGTATGCCGTTGTACGGGGGCATGGTGTAGAGATTGGAAGTGATTGTTTCCGCGTAATCTTGCGTTTCGAGGATATTCTGATGTAACGGTCCGTTTTCGAAGAGCGCCTCTTGGGCGCTATTGGCGCGGACCGGTTGGGTGAGCGCCCGCGCGTACGTCTTACATTCGCTGAGCAAGCAGGCGTGTTGCTAGCGAGAGCTCCCGGCTTGAGAGATTCAGCTAGCGCTTTAGCCCCTTGTCCATGGTTTATGTCTCCTGAAATTGTCGTCCACCTTGATGTGGTGTTTTTCTTGTCCTCGATTGTGTTGTTATTCCCGACCTCGATGACGAGCCGTGTGTCGTTTCTGTGTTGTCCTGTTGTAACGTGCGTTCGAGTGAGTGAGTGCCGCGGGTCTTGTGCACCTACTTGTGGTAGAATACCGCCAACGTCAAATGGAACACAGCAGTGCAGACCGAAGCTGCGAGTTCTTTGCTGTTCCATTTTGTGTCATTTGTGGGCTGGGTACCCATAGACTTGTGAACGTAGTGGTGCCCACGCCCACTTAGGGGGGGTTGTGTCATACTTTTATTTTTCATTTTGGTTACCCATGTACGGAGTGTTGTCGGAAATTGTGTATTGTGTATGTGTGTTGTGGTAATCATTTGCAGAGCATGTTGCCATGTGCTATACGTCGTCTGGCTCTATTTGCATCGTTCCTGACCGGACCGAAGTACAACTGCAGATCAAGGCCAGGTGGTGTTCACACGAGTCTTTGTACCCACAGTATCTATAGGCAGTGTAGACAAATTTACAAATTTATCTATCCATAGGTCATTTTCTGTTTGTAGCGTTAGACTACACCATCAGTGAAGCATTTGCACGATTTTCTTTTGTTACTATGCCCGATCATAAAGTCAAGGGCTCTTCTGTGTGTACTGCTTGCAAGCTTCCGGCTGCATGATCCACACGAAGGCCTTGTCCGTGCTCTGGCATGTACCGGTTTGTAAACGGGTCGAATAAAATATAGATATGCATGTAGGCTTTTGTGCGGTTGCGCATGTTGGTATATACCTGGTAAGTTGGGAAGAATGATTTCCCTCCAAAAATACTGAATCAAATTCGATGACTTGTTCTCGTTTATCGACTGCGTCTCTCCTCTCCGGCTGTCATGTGATTGGCTAAGAGCGGGGCCTGTAGGAGCTTGGTGCGTCCGGGGGTCGTCTGCCCACTTTCCTTAGCTTTAGCTCCAGTCAACCTCTGACAATCAATCCCCGCTGGATGGTGATAAGGCAGGCTGACGCTCCCCCCATGGTGAAGATTGTGCTTCGCGACGTTGTTGCAGTGCGGCCCTGTTCCTTCCCACTGGCATCCGTTTTTCTCCGTGCAACTTCGTACTCCGTTGTACGCCGTAGCGCCGGCAGCAAACAGGGTGGTGGATGCGCCGGTACACTGACGGCAGCGATCGATCGATGTGGTAGCCGTAGTGGTGGTGGTGACCGTGATCATTGCTGATGATGTGGAGTCGATGATGGCGGTGAAATGGTTACAGCTCAGTGACGGGGACGAGTCCGATAAGTCGCGGCCACCGTACTATAGCGGTCGATCATTTGATTTTGTGCTTGTTGTACAACCAAGTTAGTCTAATCTATGGGAAGATGAGCGCTCCATAATATATTGTTTCACATCCATAGATTGAGTGTGACTGCGAAAACAAACATCAAACGTGCCGTTCGTTCCGCTCTTCGGCACTGCATTAATCATAGTAAGTACTGCATGCAGTGCATCTATCTGCCCCCGTATGCCAGCGGATGGTTATAAACCAACACCAATCACGGCGAGCCGTTTGATTGTGAAGGTGAAAATAATTTCAAGACACATAGTCTAGGCCTACTAATCGAAAAGCGGGGTCAGTTGGGGGAGTGCACTCATAGTCGTGCATGCCGTAGTCGTTAGACCATTGACCTCGCATCCCTACAAAGCCGGGACGGAGCACGCCGGGTTCTCACCGGACCAGGCTCTCACATCACCAAGCGCGAAGCGCCGTGAGATATTCGGCGAGTCGCATGAAGGGTGCGCTGCATCCTGCTAAGGGTTTTCGGCATCTTGTGCTTACTTCCTTGCGTACGGATGACAGCTGCGTATGACTTAATTTATTTTCTGGTGCTTTCACTTCCAGAGACAGTTGTAAGCACTGTGTAACTGCCTCGAGGGTGCTTGACCATTTTAACACAACGTGGTGCGATCATCCCCCTTGCGCGGAGTGAGGGTTCTCCACCCCGCACAACATGATCTACTCGACCACCATTATGGTTGCCGCCAAAAAACAAAACAGAGGTAAAAAAAATAAC